AGTTGATGATTGGAGTGCCAGTCAAGCAGGCTGCTTTGTCCTCGTCACTCATCCAGTCAAGTGGAGAGTATTCTGTTAAACTCCTGACTTGTGCCTTGTAAATTGCAGGACTCTGGCTCGTCAGGAGGGCAGTTACTCCTCAGAATTCACAGCCTCCACTTCCTTGCTGTTGTAACTACAGATTGTATACAGAGTCATCGAGTCAGACAGCACGGAAACAGACCCTTCAGTCTAACTCATCTGTGCCGACCAGACATCCCAATCTGACCTAGTCCCATTTGCCAGCATTTGGACTATATCCCTCTAAACTCTGCCTATTCACATCCCCATTGCCTTTTAAATGGTGTAATTGTACCAGCCTTCACCACTTCCTCTGGCAGCTCGTTCCATACACACACCACGCTTTGCATGAAAAAGTCACCCCTCAGGTCCCTTTTAAATCTTTCTCCACTCACCTTAAACCTATGCCCTCTAGTTTTGGGCTCCCTCACCCTAGGAAAACGACCTTGGCAAATTCACCTTATCCATGCCCCTCATAATTTTATAAAACTCTATAAAGGATCACCCCTCTGCCTCTGAAGCTCCTTAGAAAAAATTCCCAGCCGATTCAGTCTCTCCCTATAGCTCAAAGCCTCCAGTAGTAGCAACATCTTTGTAAATCCTTTCTGTACCCTTTCAAGTCTAACAACCTCCTTCCTACAGAAGAGCAACCAGAATTGTACACAGTATTTTAAAAGTGGCCTCACTAATCTCCTGTACAGCCACAACATGACATCCCAACTCCTATACTCAATGGTCTGACCAATGAAGGTAAGCACGCCAAATGTCTTCTTCACCACCCTGTCTACTTGTGACTCCACTATATGGCTGATCCATCTCCACTTCTGTTCAACGGTTATCCCCAGGACATTAATGGTGGGGGATTCCCATCAATGGTAATGCAGTTGAGTATGTTAAGGGAAGATGGTTAGGTTCTCCTTTCTTCAAAGAAGTAATTGCCTAGCACTTGTGTGGTGTGAATGCTAACTGTCACTGATCAGCCCAAACCTGCATTGTCCAGGTCATTGTATAATCATCAGCGAACATCCACACTTTGTACTTTATGGGGGGGGGGGGGGGGGCAGGGAAAGGCCATTGATGAAGCCGCTGAAGATAGTTGGGCTCAGGACACTAGGACACTACCCTGAGGAACTCCTGTAAAGATGTCTTGGGACTGAGATATCCAATCAGAGCCATCATCCTTTATGCTGGGCATGACATTCACCAGGAGACAGCTTCTCCCCAGAATCCTATTAACATAAAATCTGCTAGGGCTTCATGACTCCACACTCCGTCCCATGCTACCTTGATGTCAAGGGCAGTCAGTCTCACTCCTCTCGAGGACCGTTCCTAACAGCATACCTTCTAGAAGAACATGCACTCATATTGAAGTGAAAAAGTGTAAAAACAGCCAGGAGCTCCTGGATGAGGCTGGTGTTCCCTCAAGTACAGAAGGTCAAGGGGTGATCTTATTGAAGCGTTAAAGGGAAGGATAGAGTAGATCGAGGGAAACTATTTTCTCTGCTGATGGAGTCAAATGGGGACAATTGTAAAATTCAAGCCAGGTTTTTCAGGAGAGTTGTCAGAAAGCATGTCTTCATGCTGAAATCTGGAATTCTCCCCATCCCCCAAAAGCTGTCTGAGGTTGGGGGAGTGGGGAGGAGGCAGGGAAGAGGAGGTCAACCAAAACTGTCGTAACAGTGATTACTAGTTTTGCACGCAAAGCTTGGCAACTAAAGTAGGTTGATGGGAGTTAAAATACAGATTAGCTATGAGATAAATGAATGGCAGAAGAGGCTCAAGCAGTTGAATGGCGTCCCCCTGTTCCTATCCAACACTGACTGAATGGTATAATCAACACCTTGTTTCAGCTATGATGAGTCTTTGTTCCGAGGCCATCAATTTAAGTAGAGAGCGTTTGGTTGCTATTGGTTGCAAAGTCATCAGTGAACTCACTGCTCAGCTAGATTAAATTGAGTTCAGCTCCTGCTGAGCTATTGTCGTTCTGAAGCTCAATTACTATGCTGTTGCTGACGGTTACTCCCAGCACAATGTAGACTTTGAATGTGTGGAGTTAGGAATTTGAAGGAATGTTAGAGATACAAGTCTTTGTCACTGTTTATTCCTTGGCCTCCAGCTAGGTCTTTATTTAGGTGACTAGCAGAATATTTTCTTAAAATTATTCAGGTTGCTCTTTCAAGGACAACATTAAAAGCCAAATTCAGCATGATAGCTTAACCTCATGTGTACAAGTTATAATTCCAACACTGTTTAAAATTTTCCCCATGGTAAGGTGTGCACAGTGACCAAAGGCTTAACAGAGGTCCAAATTTTGGAGTAGGGATATTAATCTGTGCTAAAGTTTGGCAGAACTGTCTTAAACTCTTTACATAAGCTTGTGAAATTCCCCTGATAGGGAGTTAGGATCCAGGGTAATCTTCAGCTGAAGTACAGTTACAGGCCAATTGGATCAAGGTGTACATTCAAACTGAAGGAGACCACACAGCTACTGGGCCTCCTCTGTGATTCAATTAAGCAGCTAATCTGTACCATAACTCCAACAGCTCCATATCCCTCGATACATGGGTAGTGTGAATAGCCAAGGTCTTTTCCCCAGGGTAGGGGAATCCAAAACCAGATGGCATAGGTTTAAGGTGAGAGGGAAAGATTTTAAACGGATCGAAGGGGCAACCTTTTCACGCAGAGGGTGGCGTGTGTATGCAATGAGCTGCCAGAGGAAGTGGTGGAGGCTGGTACAATTACAATATGTAAAAGGCATCTGAATGGGTATATGAATAGGAAGGGTTTACAGGGGTATGGGCTGAATGCTGGAAAATAGGACTAGATTAATTTCGGATATCCCGTTGGCATGGATGAGTTGGACACGGGTCTGTTTCCGTGCTGTTTAACTCTATGACTCTACCCATACATTGTGACAATACTGTGCCTTTGCAAGATGGGTTCAGTGCTGTTTCTCTTGCAGATCGGTGTTGTCACAGTGGTAGCAAAATGTCTCCTTCAGACAGGCAGTTGGTAAACAGCCTGGAGTTCTCCCTGGGTGTTTTACAAGTCATGAGTGGGTGGGGTCAGGCTCACACAGACCCAGAAGGACTTTAGTTTTGCTTTCACTGAACTGAGTAATTATTTGCTGGCTGCTGGAGCTGATGGTTTGAATTCACAGCTGTTCAGTGAAGTCTTAGACACAGAGGCTTCCTCTTAAAAATCAAAAAAAGGGGCAGACTGTTACCTTCCACTGGACTGGAGAGAGACAGCACATGAGAATAATAACTGTGTTGCTAAATTGCCTTGTCCAAGAGTCTTTATGGGATGCTGCCTTTTTGGAACAGTTAATGATTAGTTATGGTTAAATAATACATTATCTGGTTAAGTATTTCAATAGAGTAAAGTTATGCCAACTCTTCTTTTTCTTATATTTTAACTGCATTGCAAGAATAAAGTGTGTTTTGATTAAAGCTTAGTGGTAGACCAATCAAATCATATCTGGAACACAGCACTTTACACTTGCCCTTTAAAAATCATAGAGTTAGGGTCTAGGCTATCTCCTTACAATACTTTGTGGGGGTACGGTCAGATCCATAACAATTGAGTTTGCAACAAAAAGTTAGAAGCCTTTTGATAGAGCTGGTTAAAATGCCAAGTTTATGTTGCACATGGCCCTCCTTCCACCATAATTCAGCCAAATCTACCAGCTCCCGCTTCTATTCCTTTCTCCTCATGAGCTTGTCTGGCTTCCTCATCAAGGTATTTGCATCACTCGCCTCACATTCTCACTACTCCCTGGGTAAAAAGGTTTCTCTTGAATTCCCCATTGGATTGCTTTATTCATTCATGGGATCGGTCACTGGCTGGGCCAGCATTTATTGTCCATCCCGAATTTCCCTGGAGAATGTGGCAGCGAGTTGTAGTCTGTGGGGTTAAGGTAGACCCACAATGCAGTTAAGGAGGGAATTCCAGGAATTTGACTCAGCGACATTGAAGGAATAGTGACGTTCCAAGTCAGGATGGTGAGCGGCTTGGAGGGGAACTTGCAGGTGGTGGTGTTCCCACATATCTGCTGCCCTTCTTCTAGATGGAAGAGGTCATACATTTGGAATGTGCTGTTGAAGGAGTCTAGTCAAGTTGCTGCAGCACATCTTGTAGATGGCAGACATTGCTGCCGCTCTGCATCCATGGCAGACATTGCTGCCGCTCTGCATCCATGGCAGACATTGCTGCCGCTCTGCATCCATGGCAGACATTGCTGCCGCTCTGCATCCATGGTGAGGGAATGGAATGTTGAAGGTGGTGGATGGGATGCCAATCAAGTGAGGGTGGGGGGCGCTGCTTTGTTCTGGATGGTGTCAAGCCTGTCGAGATGTTGGAGCTGCACACATTCAAGCAAGCAGAGAATATTCCATCGCACTCTTGACTTGTGCCTTGTAGATGGTGGACAGGCTTTGAGGAGATTTATTAGATATTGGAGTAGATTTATTTGTGTCTATCTTATTATTACGACCTTTTGGTTCTGGAGTTCCCACAAAAGTGGAGTCATTTTCTCCATGTGTACCCTATAAAACCGTTTTATTATCTTAGAGACCTCCATTGGACCCTGCAAACAGCTAACAAAAATTGATTTTTGATCTTAAAAGCTCAATTTGTCCTCCAATATCTACAAACTTTTACAGTAGAGAATTTTCTATTTTTTCAGCAGGGATTACTTCAGTCACTACATATAATAAAACTAACTAACTGTGTGACTTTACAGTTTTTCATACATATATTCTGGCATTCCTATTTATAAAAGAAACTGATTGCTCAATGTGATAAATCAGCAGCGGCAACTAGAGGAGTATCATGTTACTGCAAGATATTTCATCACATTCTGAACAAAGTCAGAAGTCACTCGACACAAGGTTATTGTCCAACAGGTTTATTTGAAGACTTCACCTGATGAAGGAGCAGCGCTCCGAAAGCTTGTGACTTCAAATAAACCTGTTGGACTATAACCTGGTGTCGTGTGACTTCTGAATTCGTCCATCCCGATCCAACACTGGCATCTCCACATTTTGAAAAAGGTCCTCTCAAAAGAGGTTGTTGCCTTGCTCGCCGAGCTGGCTTGTTTTTGTTCAGACGCTTCATCACCATGCTAGGTGAAATTGTCAGTGGAGCCTCCGATGAAGCGATGTTATTCTGCTCCATTTGGAATTTATACTGTCCGGTCCGTTATGGTGAGTACTATCATTTCTGGTTTTGATCGGTATGGGTTTGTATGTGGGGTCCAATTCTATTTGTTTGTTGATTGAAGTGTGGGTGGAGAACTATGGCTCTAGGAATTCCGGTGCGTGTCTACGTTTGGCTTGGGCTACTATGGTTACTTTGCCCCAGTTAAACTGATGGCCTTCATTGTCTGAACGTACAGACATTAAGGAGAGTTCATCGATGAACTCTCCTTAATATCACTGCATTCAGACAAAGTAACCATAGTAGCCCAAGCCAAACATAGACATCCACAGGAATTCCTAGAGGCATGGTTCTCCACCCATATTTCAATCAACAAACATATAGAATTGGACCCCATATTCAAGCCCATACCAATCAAAACCGGAAATGATAGTACTCACCATAACGAACCAGACAGTATAAATTCCAAGTGGAGTAGAACAACATCACTTCATCGGAGGATCGACTAATGATGTCACCTGGCATGGTGATGAAACATCTGAACAAAAACAAGCCAGCTCGGCAAGCAAGGCAACAACCTCATCCACAACCCGAGCTACAGATCTTTGCCAAAACTTTAAAGGTCCTCTCAAATGTTAATTCTGATCTCTCTCTCTGGCTGTAAAGACTGTATTCTGCACTCTGTTTTGCTACCGTGATGCACTTTGTATGGTACGATCTGCCTGTATTGCACGCAAAACTACACTTTTCACTGTATCTCGGTACATGTGACAGCAATAAAATCAATCAATATCCAGGAAATACGGAGAATGGGAAGGGGAATAAAACATAAGCCAGTAAGTGCTGTGTAAAATAAAGCAGGTTTTCAACAAGATGAAGACCCCTTTGTGGCGCTATATTGTCAGTCTTCTCATCCTGAGCTTTGACAACTGCCCTGTATTGACACTTACATGCCCGTGGAGATCCGTATTAAGCAGCATCAGTGCACAGGTTAGTGTGTGTATACCATCTGCAGATGAAAAAAAGAGAGAGCATTACTTCGGATGGCTAAAGCTCATTGCACTAGAGACAGACTGTCGAGCCAGTCCTAGAATTGAAGGGATCCCACACTGCTGTCATTCTCTCACCCACACTTGTGTTCCATGTCAAAGAGCTATACAGCTCTTTCAGGAGGGACCAATCTCTCCATGACTCCCTTGTCCGCTCCACACTCCCCTCCAGCCCCACCACACCCAGCACTTTTCCCTGCAACCGCAGGAAGTGCTACACCTGCCCCCATACCTCCTCCCTCACCCCCATCCCAAGCCCCAAGAAGACTTTCCACATCAAGCAGATGTTCACCTGCACATCTGCCGATGTGGTATACTGCATCCGCTGTACCCGTTGTGGCCTCCTCTACATCGGGGAAACCAAGCGGAGGCTCGGGGACCGCTTTGCAGAACACCTACGCTCGGTTCGCA